GGTATTGGGGTGGATACTTGGAGCAGCTACTTCCATTTCACCATCCTATTTGAAAAAAAAATGCTAAAAGCTATATTTTTCAGACTCCCTTGCCCCTTGAGTTCTAGGTACAAGTAAGATCCTCCAAAGATATGTACTTATGACAAAAACAGGTGCAGGTAAATAGAGGCTATCTTTCTGCATTTGTGGCCCTTTGTAAGCAAGGTGTGATGACATATATGTGACATTCAGACTCTTCTTATGGTGCTCCTGGTGGGGAAACAGTGGTGGTGGCAGCAGCAGTAGCAATGTCCTTTTGTTATTTTTACATCCCAGCTACATTCTAGTCAGAATAAGCTAGACTTATGCTGCTGTAATAAGCAGTCCTCAAATCATACTAGCCTAATACAAGTTTCCTTCTCACTGCAAAATGTGTTGCTGTGAGTGTGGACAGTTGCTCTCCACTTTCTTGCTCAGAGATCAGGGCTGCTTTAATTTCATAGCTACTACATCTTAACCCAAGGTCTCCTCCTTGACTACTGTGGCAGGCCAGAGACCATCTAGATAACGCTCAAAGAATACCAGTGTCTCATCCTGGAAGTGGTACATTCTTTCTTCTCAGCTATTATTGACTGGACTGGTCACATGGCCCTACTGAACTACAAGTGGACTGGGAAATTCAAACATCCAAATGCCAGGAAGTACAAAACCAGTCATAATATTTGTCACAAGTGATGCAACTCTGAACTCAATATTCTGCAGATTTCCTCTCTTCAAGCCCTTCCAAGACTAAACTACAAGTGGACTGGGAAATTCAAATGTCCAAATGCCAGGAAGTACAGAACCAGTCATAATATTTGTCACAAGTGATTGCAGCTCTGAACTCAATATTCTGCAGATTTCCTCTCTTGAAGTCCTTCCAAGGACTTCAGAAGCACTGAATGCTGGATGAAATTCCCTTGTATTTTGAAATATCTAGAGTGGTTTTGGATTCCCATAGTGAACCCTGGCTAAACCAGGGTATATTGGTAGCTTTCTGCCCCTTCCCTCTGTCTGTTCTCACTCTTCTGTGTCCCATGGGGCTGTCCACTATAAAATGTGTCTTCCAGGCTCCTTTGCCCTCTGGCTTTGGTTAGTTTGGATCATGGGAGACACCAACAGGAGATCAGAAAGTAGGAGGCAAGCCGGGCACCAGTGGCTCGTGTCTGTAATCCTAGCTACTCAGGAGGCAGAGATCAGGAGGGTCACAGTTCAGAGTCAGCCCCGGGCAAAAAGTTTGTAAGAACTTATCTTGGAAAAGAAAAAAACCCAAAAACTATCACAAAAAAAGTTTGGAAGAGTGGCTGAAGCAGTAAGAGTGCCTGCCTAGCAAGTTGAGGCCCTAAGTTGAAACCCCAGTGCCACCAAAAAAAAAAAAAAAAGTAGGAAGCAAGAGAGAGCAGGATATTTGTTCCTGCCTCCTTTCAACTCCCCATCAGACACTCAACTCTGTACAGAGTCCTTTTGTTCAACTTTCCTCATCCAAACACTTTTGAGTATTACATCCGTTTCCTGCCTTGACCCTGACTCATGCCAGGTGTTTAACAACCAAACCATGAGTCTGAAAAACAGTAACAGACTGTCTTCTATCTTCCAGTTTTACTACAGCAGGAGATCGTTACAAAATGAAAATCTGAATTGATTATCCCTCTGCTTTAAAACTTCAATGGCTTTTCTGTCGCCACGCCCCACTCTAAATTGCAGCCAGAGAGAACTATTTTCAGTTCCCTCTTCCTGAGCCTGTGCACATGCAGAGTGGGGTGGAATTGGCTCCCCACCCCCACTCTCATCACTCAGGCTCAAAAGGGACTAACCACAGAAAGCCTTCCATCCATGCTTAGCCTGCTTAGACGGTGTTACATGTCCTACTGCAGTCTCCACTCACTGACACATACGGATGGTGCTTAGGACACTGCACTGCATCTCAGATCTATAGGGCTAATTTGATTTAGGTGCTTGACACAGAACAGGCACTCAATAAACACTGGCTAGCTCCTGAATGTCAATCAAAGAGCTTGAACCCTCCTCCTCCAGCCACGGACATCACTCTGTTCATTCACTAACAAAAAATCAGAAAAACACTTTTTAGCCAGGTGCCTGTGGCTCAGGCCTGTAATCCTAGCTAATCAGGAGGCAGAGATCAGGAAGATCGAGGTTCAAAGCCAGCCGGGGCAAATAGTTAATGAGACCCTATCTCCAAAATACTTAACACAAAAAAGGTATGACAGAGTGACTTGAGTGCCTGCCTAGCAAGTGTGAGGTCCTGACTTCACAAAAAGAACACTAAACAAAAACACTTTCAGACCCCCATCCTTCATTACTACCTTCCATTCAGTTCTTAGCCCATTTTATTCTTACTTTGCTGCTATCTTCTATGAAAATTTCTCTTGACAAGATTACCAATGACTGGGCTGGTGGAATGGCTCAAGCAGTACAGTATCTGACTCACAAGCACAAAGCCCTGAGTTCAAACCCTAGCACTGCCGAAAAAAAAAAAAAATTACCAATGACCTAATCGAGCTTCAATTCTGTAGCTTCCTTCTGGTCCAAATCCTCCAGAAGTGCATGGCAGCAGTGACTTCAAACTTAACTCCTCCACCCTTTTATGGTGTTTATGGTGTTTCTCTCTCCCTTTCCCTCTTTCTCATCCTTGCCTGTTTCCATTGTACCTACATCCCAACACAGTGTCCCACTGGGAGATAGTTAAATTGCTCTCTTGGCTTCCAGGCAATCTCCTGATCTCCTCTTTCTCTGTTTTGCTTCTTCTTGGGAGACTTTATAACTGCCTCCTCCTCCATCTACCCATTAAATACTCTTCAGAGCAACTAGTTCTTACCCGCCTTTTGGGCTGCAGCCATCAGTGAATACCACAATTCCCAAATGCATCTTTTCAATCTTAACCTTTCACAAGAGCTAACACTGCCCTTCTCTCCCTGCAAGCACTTCAGATAAAGACAGTATTTCTTCCATTCCTGATCTGCTCTCCTGCATAAACGGCTCAGTCCATCTAGTTGCCCAAGATGGAACATCTCAAAGTCCTCTAGTCCTTAGAACTGTCTTTCCTCTCTGCCTTAAAGGGCAATGACCTTCATCCAGTGCCAAATCCCCACCCAAATGTCAAAGTCTTTGTTTCTATATCTTATCCTGGAACACCTTACTCCACTTTGTCCCAAGTCCATCCATATTCTTTGCAGTTCAGAAATCTGGTTAATTTTAATTGATTGCTTTCTCTGAGTTCTAACTAGCTTGAGGTTAGGCTTTGTTCTTTTAATGTCAGATCTACATATGTCTCCTTCACTAGACTGTAAAATTCTTAAAGGCAGTTATTTTTCTTTTTTTGTTTGTTTGGTTTTTTTGGTGGTGGTACTGGAGTTTGAGCTTAAGGTTTCACACTTGCTTAGACAGGCACAGGCATTCTACCTCTTGAGCCACTCTGCCAGCTGAAGGCAGTTATTTTTCAATCATAGAGGCTACCCAGGGACTGACATAAAAACTATTTTTAGCCAGGTGCCTGTGGTTCATGCCTGTAATCCTAGCTACTCGTGAGGCAGAGATCAGGAGGACTGCTCTTGGAGGCCAGGCCAGGCAAATAGTTCTCTAAATCCTATTTGGAAAATACTCAATACAAAAGAGGACTGGCAAGTGGCTCAAGTGTAGAGCACCTGCCTAGCAAGTATATAGTCCTGAATTCCTTTTCAGAGATTATTGTGAGAGATATTTTGAGTTAAAAGGAACAGATTCTTAGTGGCTTACATCTGCAGGGGCTGAGATTGGGAGGATCCCTGTTCCAGGTCAGGCCTGACAAAAAAAAAAAAAAGAGTTCAGAAGGCCTCATCCCAACAGAAAGGCCCCATCTCAATGGAAAAAGCTGGCACTAGACATGCCTGTGGCCCCAGCTACACCAGAACCCTAAAATAGGAGGACTCGTGGTCCAGGCCAACCTCTGCAGAAAGTAAAACCCTATCTTAAAAATAACCTGAGCAAAAAGGACCAGGCGTGGTTCAATTCGTGTAGTGCCCGCCTAGCAAGTGCAATGCTGAGTTCAAATCCCAGTATGAAACAAAAAATTAAATCTTAGTTTAAAAATATGAACATTACACAACCAAGTCAAAGACAAGTCTTTGAACAACAGACATTGTGTCTGGTTATAGAATGCAGACAATTGCTACACATCCAAGGTTGAACGATTTGATTCTAGGCACTTCAGTATGGACAAATTTAAAAGGGAAGGTATAATTTTAACTCCTATGTCCTTTTGTCGTTTATCCTGGGTGACAGGAATTAGATAAGACATCCATCCATAAAAGGACACGCCTGTAGCAGTAAGGTGCCTGGACACTTGGTGGGCTGACAACGAATTTGAATCCTTTTCTTTTTCCTCCCTCACCTCCAGTTTATATTTGAAGGAAATCTTAGCTTTTGGATTTCAGTCTGATTCAGTGCCCCTATTAACCCATGACTCCCATACTCAAGGGGAAGAAGTCACTGGAGCTGTGGGGGGAGACAGTGCAAAATCTGAAAGCAAGGGTGCAGAGGAACTGCAGAAAGCAGCCCCTTTGGCGGGGTTTGTCTTTTTTTTTTTTTTTAACTCCAGAGAGGCGGGACCTGCTTACCGCCCGGCTGGGTCAGCTTCCCTGCGAGGCGCCCGCCCGCCCCGAATTTCCCCGCCCTGCACCCGCGTCCGGCTTCCGCCCCGCGGTGCACTACCAGCTGTGGCCGCTAGGGGCGCGCTGGGACGCGAGGCGGCGGCGGCGGCGGCGGCGGCGGCGGCGGCCGTGCTCCGCGTTCGCCTCTCCCCGCTCTCAGACGGGCGGCGGCAGCGGCGAGCTGCACACGGAGAGGGCGCGGGCTCCCGGGGCGAGCTGCAGCGCGACCGCTCCCCGAGGGCGGCCGGGGTCCGCGCCGCAGCCGCCGCCGATCTCCGGCCCGAGCTGCCGCGAAAGGCGGCGGCGGCGGTGGCCCCGGTCCCGGCCGGCCCGCGACGCCCTCCGGCCGCGCCCCCGCGTGCAGCTCGCGGCCCCGGCCATGGGGCTGGGCGGATCCGGGGCTCCGCCGAGCTGAGGAGGCGACGCCTGCCCGCGCAGCCCGCTCGCCGGCGCCTGGCTGTCATGATGATGAAGAAGAAGAAGTTCAAGTTCAAGGTGGACTTCGAGCTGGAGGAGCTCTCCTCCGTGCCCTTCGTCAATGGGGTCCTCTTCTGCAAGATGCGGCTGCTGGACGGCGGCAGCTTCACCGCGGAGTCCTCCAGGTACCGCGCGCCCGCGTCCCCGCCGGTCCGCTGGGGACAGTCTGATCCTCCGGGAACCGATCTATCGATCGATGTGTGCAAAGTGCTTCCAAATGGGTCCATCGGGGATGCCCTGCGCCCCGGACTCCAAATGGTCCTGGTGGCTGTCCCCTTCCTCCCCGTCCTCTAGGAATGGGAGTGGGGCGCAGAGGGCGAGGATGCTTCTGGGTTCCCCTAAGACATTTGTTCCCATATTTGCAAAATGTCAAGTGGAACTTGGGCTGTTGTGAAACACAGAAATGACCCAGACTGCTCCAGTTCCAAAAGCGCACGCTCTGCAGCGCCCCTGGTTGACACGACTCCGTATCCCTGGTGGGCGACAGGAACACGGGCCCAGGATGGGCCTGGCCCACCCTGGATTGAGTTCAGTGTTCTGGCAGACCAGGCACCACGGAGAGGGCGGCGTCTTCACTAGTGGGGCTCAGTGTGGAGGACTTGGAAGCAGAAGGGGATCCCAGGCCCTGCCCTCATTTTGACATGAGTCCCTGGATGCTCTGGGGTCCTCTGCAGGTTACAGAACGCACCAGGGGTGGCAGGGTCCCTGGAACAAATTCCATGCTAATCACAGGCTGACAGATTTGACCTCAAGGTGGTTTTCTTTTCAAGACAGTAGAAAATTGAACGAATTTTCTTTTGAATGAAAGTTTTAAGTTCCTGGAGTCTAAGAGATTTAATAATTAATGTTTTATTTTGCTTATGCATACTGGTTGTAGGCTTTATTTTTATGCTAAGTGTATTCTGCTTTCTTTTATGTGTCATCCCATTAATAATGTAAAGGAAATTCTGTCAATGGGTTCTGGAATTGAAGTCAGAGAATTATCCAGTATGGCAATAATGAAGCCAGAATATGTCTCATTGGCTAAACCAAAGGATGTATGAAGCACTGTTGATTCTCAGAGTTAAAAAAATAGTCTGCTGAGGATAATTTTTTAAACAATGATGACAAGTCTGTAGACATTCTGCTAATTAATTGTACTATGACCATTTGAACACTACTAAAAGAGAACCATGAACGGTGCCACACACACACAAAAATTGCACCAGCTCTTAAGGTACTGAGAAGCCTAAGAGCCAATCCTGAGTGTCCTGTGGGTGGAAGTGAAAGTCTCACTGGGAGGCTTAGACTTTCTGCTGCAAGGTCCTCCCCCACCTGAAGCAGCTAGAAGTGGACTCCTGACACAGAGATGATATCTGGTGATCAGGATACTGATGTCCCCCCTCAGAGTATCTTTTGGCTTACTTCTTGCCAGTGGCTCATGCCTGTAATCTTAGCTACTTGGGAGGCTGAGATCAGGAGGATCAAGGTTCAAGGCCAGTCTGGACAAATAGTTCACAAGACCCCATCTCCAGAATAACCAGAGCAAAAATGAATTGGAGATGTGGCTAAGCAGTAGAGTACCTGCTTTGCAAGTGTGAGGCCCTGAGTTCAACTCCCCCTGCCCAAATATACTGTCTTACTTAATTCTCACAGCCAACCTATGAGGTAGGGATCCTTGTTTTGTGGATAAGGAAACTGAGACTCAGGAAACACACTAACTCTCCCAAGGTTCTCCCACAGCTAATATACCAAGATGCTGATACAGGTCTAACGGGAAATCCTGTGATGCCAGATAAAGGGGAAAATTGTGTGTTGTGTTGAAGAGTTTCTGAACTGGCAGCTTCCTAATGGTTTGAAGGTGCAAGGTGGTATAATTTCATTTGTACTGGGCAAGACTTGACAATGAAAAAGTTGAGTATAGTGGCTAGGCACAGTGTAGCTCATGCCTGTAATCCTAGCAACTTTGGAGGTGGAGATCTGGAGGATTATGGTTCAAAGCCAGCCTGGGCAAAAAGTTCATGAGACCTCTTCACAACTAATGGCTAGGTGTGGTGGTGTGTGTCTGTCATCCCATCTCTTCTGGGAAACACAAACAGGAGGATGGAAGTCCAGGCTAGACCAGGCATAAAGTGAGACTTTATCCCAAAAATAATCAGTGAAAAAGGGAGTAGGGGCACAATTCAAGTGTTAGACTACCTGCCTAGCAAGCACAAGGCCCTGAGTTCAGTCCCCAGTACTGACTCCCAGAAATGTTGAATGTCCTGTGTTATACTCACTCCTTTCTCTTCCAGCTAAACTCTGGGCTTATCAAGGTACATAATGTTGATAATAGGGTATGTGTAGCCAAACAAAAGAGCCATATAGTTTGAGGGAAATGATCTGTAACGAGCATGTGTTTTCAAAGTTGGGTGGAGAGAGCTGGTGTAAAGCTGAGAGCAAGGGTTTAGGATGGGGTGGGTCTAAGCCTGAATCCCAGTTCTACTGTGGTAAACCTGGATGGAGTTACTTAGGCTTTCAAAGCTAAAATCTGTACAACTAAAATAGTGACTGACTATTCTGAGCATTTAGTAAGATGAGGTACCTAAAATACCTAACCATGTTTTGGCACCCACTTGGCATTTAAAGAAGAGACAAGGAACTTGTTCAAGAAGGTCCGTTTGCTTTCGATGCTATACTAAATTCTTCTATCCTGACAACTAAAAAAATGTTGCTTTATAAATGTTCACTGTAGGACAGACTCGGTGACTCACGCCTGTTTTCCCAGCTACTTGGGAGGCAAAGATCCAGAGGACTGCAGTGAGAGACCAGCCCAGGCAAAAATTAGCAAGACTCCATCACAAGAAATAAACCTAGAGCCGGCAGAGTGGCTCAAGTGTTAAGAGTGCCTGCCTAAGCATGAAGCCCTGAGTTCAAACTTCAGTGCCGCACCCCCCAAAAAAAGAAGAAAAGAAATAAGCCTGGTGAGATAGTGTCTGCGTGTCATCCCAGGCATGCCAAAGGCATAAATAGACTGAGATCCAGGCCAGCCCCATGCAAAACGCAAGACCCTATCTGGAAAGTAACTAAAGCTAGGTGCATGGCTCAAGTAGTAGAGCACCACCCCTAGTTCAAACCCCACTTTTGCGCCAAGAAAATAAAAAAGATACCTGAGCCAGGCACCAGTGGTTGGCACTGTAAGTCTAGCTATTTGGGAGGTTGAGATCAGAAGGCTGCAGTTTGAGGCCAGCCCAGTCACAATAGTTGGTGACACCCTATCTCCTAAATAACCAGAGAAAATGGACTGGAGGTGTGGCTTAAGTGGTAGGGCGTCTGTGTTGCAAGTGTGAACCCCTGAGTTCAAGCCTCAACCCCCACCCCAAACACACAAAAAGATACATTTTATAAGAAAAGAAAAGGAATACTGAAAGGAAGTAAATGACTTCAGTTTTCCCTAACTTTTCACAAGTGAGTGCCAGTCTAGCAGTCTATGTCTAATTAAATGCTAGAGTTTACTTTTTAGATAAATCACTTGAAGAAACCCATAGAAATCAAAAACACTGAACACTAACATTTCCCCATAAAAATATGAACTAAATTACGTGTAAAAGAGCTAACAGAGCAGGCCTGAGACTGCTGTCCTTAGAAAGGCCTGTTACGAGGCTGCCCGTGGCTTGCATCTGAAGCTGGCTGGTACACGGTTCTGTACACGATCTAAAACTACTTAAATGCCGAGAGTGGCTCGCTGTGCCTGGAGCGTGTGCACAGAGTGTGGCTCATGGCAAATTCCTCCCAAACGTCTAAATGCCACGCAGAGGGGGCCTGAGTGACCACCCCAGTGAGAACCCGGGGCGCCGTGTCCCAACAAGTTTCCCTGTCACAACGTGATACAAGACAAATGAAGGACGCGCTGATTCTGCTCCTCAGCTTTCCCTGGAGTCACTCTTCGCCCTGAGTATGACTGGTGCTGAGTCCTGAGTTCTGTAGAATCACCAAACTCTGGATGCACGGGTCCACCATGCATGAACTTCTGCAAAATAATATTCATTTTGTTAGAGAAAAGTCAGAAGTACACAGAAAATTACACACGCACACACATACTTTTGGCTTTGTGCAAAATCCAAACCTGCAGAAGATTTGGTGTTCCCTGAATATTAATTAAGCTTTCACCAGATTTCTAGCTGTCTGACAAGGGCTGTGGGAAGGTTTGGTTTTCATACGTTTGTTTTTGGCAGTACTGGGGTTTGAACTCAGTACCTCACACTTGCTAGGCAGGTGCTCCAGCACTTGAGCCACGCCCCCAGCCAGAGAATACACCAAATATAAGGGGCCATAAGTGAGTGACCCCTACTTAGTGAAATTAGGACACAGATGCACAGTTGCTTGACAGTGGGAGACGCAGCATGACTTACTGCCTAATCAGTGTCAGACTGTATGTGAGTGTTGTTGAAATTCTGCAAGCACTGGGATCAGCCTGATTGCAGAGTTCACATGGAGCAGAAGCAGAGGCAAGATTGGAAAAGGCTTTCAGTGCCATCAGGAGTTTCCTTTTCAGCCAGGTTCCTGTGGCTCCCGCCTGTAATCCTAGCTACTCAGGAAGCAGAGATTAGGAGGATTAAGGTTTGAAGCCAGTCCAGGCAAATAGTTCAGGAGACCCTACCTAGAAAAAACCCCTCACAGAAAGAAAAAAAAGAGAAGAGAGTTTGCTTTTCACTGCTCATGGGGTAAAATTCAGCCCCAGATTCTTGAACTGAGGTGTGATGTGATGAGCGTGGTATTTAAGCTGGCTGGAGTCCCTTGCTGTTTTCGTCAAGTGGTACTATGTTAGAGATAGAAACACAAGTTAGGAGACTGTTAAAACAACCCAGCAGGGGCTAATGAGAACCTGAGCTCAAGTTTCTCATGTATATAATGATACCTCGTCTCAAAGGGAAAAAAGAAATAAGCAAGGAAGTCAAGAAGATGCTTTGCGTTGGCTGGGCTCAGTGGCGCACGCCTATCTATAATCCTAGCCAGTTGGGAAGCAGAGATTGGGAAGATCAAAGTTCAAGGGCAGCCACAACAAAACGTTCATGAGACCCCCATCTCAATCAGTGACTGGGTGTGGTCGCACATACCTGCCATTCCCCAGTTATCCCACAAGCTCAAATAGGAGGATCACAGTCCA